TTAGACTGTTAGAGAATAAGAAATGTGATAAGTGATTTTCTGTATTTATTAAAAAGGAGGTATATTTTCAAACATATAGCTCACACTAGCTGGATGTTTAATAAGTTGGCAGCTGCGGCAGCTCTTTGTCCTCCTGATGGTCTCCATGGTAACAGAGATAACAGCACAGTCATTTTCCATATCTTACAGTCTATTATATTCAAGGATTAGTCTTCCTTTCCCAATAAGGTCAAACCTAAAGTCAAGCCATTTAGAAGTCCTCCTCCTCTTCTTCTTCCTCTTCTTTCTCCTTCTCTTTCTGAATGTTTTTACTCTGACAAAGCATTTGTCATTTTTAGAACATTTACATCACTGTGATGATCTTTGCAGCCACTCTTTGATCGATTCAGCCTTTTAACCCCAACAAAACAGCTTTATATTCTATTGTAGTTCTCAGTTTGTGAGTTCTTACAATATGTTGTGGTTTTCTGTATCATCTTAATTGCTTGGCATGATTTGTTCAGTGACTCAGACGTTGCTGATGTTGACTCAGGGGACAAAAATGAAGATAAGATGGTCATCGCTGGTATGCAGTGATGTGCAACATTTGTTCTTCTTGTTCAGATTCAAAGATATGGCACTTGATGGGTTGCAAGCACATGGCTGTATGTTTTTTTTTTTGTAAAATATAAGTATTTTACTGACTAAACCGGAACGTCTCAGGACTTGGTGTTGACCACAATCTTTCATTTGTTTAATTGCAAAACTTTTGCCTGATTCTTAAATATGTTATGATGTTTGGAGATTGCATCCCATCCTAGTGGAATAAAATTAAACAGCTTTACTGTGTATGCATTGATGAGTCATTTAGTAAATAAGTAAAATATCTGATTACTGTATATGTAAGGGAAAATGATATATTCATAAAAGAAAGCTGATATTATAACATTTCGTGTTTGAAATTATTTTAATGCAACTCGTAATTAGATATTTTGTTTCCAGTGGTTTTTTAATAGTTTTTTTAACGACTAATTTAATTTTTATTTTAATAAACTTGCATAATTAAATATATGCTTATTTAATAGTTTTCATTAGATTTTGAATGCATTTAATTTAACATGGACTAGTCATCAGTGTAGATAACATTAAAAAAAATCTTATCCAACTTTTCTTACTAATGAATAATGAGAAGATGCTTGCTGCAGTTTTGTGAAGGAACAAAATAATTCTCCAGCTGTGACCTTTTGGATTGTCCTGGCTGGACTTTCTGGTGCAGGTTGGAATAAAAAGGTTCACAGTGACACCAAGAGGGGAGATGTTGATCTGTTCCATTGATGTGAAAGATGCAGCTTCCTCGTATAAAAATACATCAAATCTCTGTGATATGTTGGAAAAGTTTCAGTCACGGATGAAACACCAAAACACTGGACATAAATCTGAACCATAATCTCCACCGTGGATTGTTTAGTTTGAGGACTAACAACAAGTTTTATCCATCGGTCAAACAGGCGTCATTTAGTTCAGATATTTGTGGGATTCGTTTAATGAGTTGGGAAACTGTCCACTTTGATTTAAAGATTCCTTTTGCGCTATTTAAGAATTGTTTACTTAAACATATCTTCTCATCTGATAAAGTATTTGACTGATGCAGGCATTATTTCAACAATAAATCTGTAATTAATTTGAATACTTATTGCCTTGTTTTGTAGTAGAAGGTGATTTTTGTGGCTCTTTTCTTAGCTCTAAAGTACTTCTATTATAAGTAATTCCACTGTGACTTTAACAAACAGCTTGTCAGTCTATTTTCAGTATTTCTTGAAAGTTTTTACACGTTGAGTCCATGTTTAGTCTTGAAAGTGAGCTTTTCTCATTCATTACAGGTCAAAGGTTCACGGCTTCACTTCCTGCCCAGAGAACAGCAGGAAGTGAGAGTTTACAACACCTCATCTCCAACCACCTGTCAGTCAATCTCTGTTTCACTGAAGCTGATCCGGGAGTTGAAGAATTCAAAACAACTATGCCCCCCACCCACTATAAGCTGGACCAGTGAGAGTTCATCAAAACCTCACAGCAATGTGCTTTTATTTTGTCTGCTAGAGTCCAATTCCTGCAGTGTGTGTGTGTGTGTGTGTGTGTGTGTGTGTGTGTGTGTGTGTGTGCGTGTTTATGTGAAGGTCCATGTTTTTGTTTTCATTATTGGACCTTTTCTAGTATAATGCTCGACCTTGTCAGGACTGCTCTTTGGGAGATTAAAACTCAGCCTAAAGTTGTTAGAAAGTCATTTTTGGGTTAGTTAGGGCTAAGGTCAGGCTTAAATACTGTGCCGTGTCCCAGTCATACTAGGACACAGCACAGGATGACAGGGAACTTCAAAAACAGTCCTATTCCCATTGGTACTTTAAAAGTACCCCCATGTGTACCCTGTAGATACATAAGTCATGTACCGGTAAGTACTCCCACAAATGTACCCTGCAACTACCCTGTAAGTACCTATACGTACCCTGCAAGTTCCCCCGCATGTACCTTAACTGCCCATGCATCCTGTTAGTTTCTTCAAATAATTATAAATACCCTGTCATAGTAATCTTGTAATCACTCAGTAAGTATTCCCATACATACCCCGTAAATACCCTGTAATTTCCCTTTATGTGTTTTTATAAGAACCCTTTAAATACTGGTAATTACTCTGTATGTACACTCATAAATATAGTGTAATTACCCTATAAGTACTGTGCAAGTACCCTCTAAGTATTCTGTAAATATACTGTGATTTGCTCATTAGTACTTTGTATCTGTAAGTACTCAGTCAGTACCCTGCAAGTACCCAGTGTGTACTGCTTCATGTGTCCTTATGTACCCCCGTAAGTACCCTGTTATTACTATGTACCACTGCAAGTACACAGTTTGTCACTATTTTACATTCAGACGTTGTTGGGTCTTCATTTAAACAAGACAAGTTCAAGTTGTGTGTATTTGTCATATGCAAGGTTAACACGGGGTTAACAGTACAATGAAATGCTTAGGACAAAGGTTTGTTGATACTAGTTTAAATTAGTTTCATTACAGAATACTGAATATCTTTATCCTGGAGTTAGGTTGCATATAAGTTTCTGAAATGTGATCAAGAAATATTCCTGGGGCACTTCTGATATCCTTGTTACCTATTAAAGTGTTTATATGTCACTGTCAAATACCCACAAACATATGAAGATTGAAAATTTGTCATGACAGTGATTTTACACGTCTGAGATAAAGTTTGAACAACAACAAAAAAAAAACATCTCTGAGAAACACAATCCCCTGCTCCTATTTATCAGGCTGAGGGTGTCCACAGATTAAAAATCTGCTGCCGATGACACAAGAAGTCGGGGCTTCTTGAAGTCAGCTGGATTAATTTAGGAGCAGACCGACAGTGTGAACAGTTCATGGCCTGCATGCAAGAAAGGAGAAGATAAAAACACAGATATTCCAGCTCTTGACTGTTTATAGATTTTCAGATTTAACCAGATTATCAAAAGAGAAGACACACACACCAAGTGCTCGTTATACAACTCCTTTCAATCA